GATGTGTAATGTTACTGATTAATTATTTATTATATAAAACAATATTAAAATAAAAATAACATATAATTAGGATCTATACTAACATGGTAACAGAATCCTAATGTTTTTATTAGAAACAAGGGGATAAACAATTTAAACAATAACTAACTACTCGTACTTTAAATTCAGTTTTAATTAATCCATTCCTTGCATTATACACATGTACATGATGAATATAAAAATGTCAATAAAAAGCCCTTTTAAATTAGAAAAGACAGTGTTTCGAAATGAAGTTAGTACTTATTTCACACAGACAGGTTACAATTTTACAAAAATAATTTAAAGCAGTTGATACTTCTTTTTATGTCTTTTTGTTCTATTGAATAAATTAGAAATTTATCACTTACCCTTATTGCCTTTGTTTTTTCCAGCGGACCTTGATCCATTCTGTAGTAAAATGGGGACTGTAGGATCAACACCCAACTGAACATTGCAGTCAGAGTTATAATGTTTCTGTGAACATAAAATACATTAAACAATACTTAAATGTCAAGATGTTTTCGTTAGAAATGAATTTAATATGTTTAACAAGTTGATCACCATTAATTTTTTTGTTTAAAATAAACGTCTGTATATTGAAAAATTAAATATTTAGTCTCCCTTTCCACTCATTCATTCTTTACATTAGTATAAAATGTTTGCTTCCTGCACTACAAAGTATTATAATGTGCAAAAAGTGTTACTAATGCAGTTTCCCTTAAAAACTTTCATTAAAACAAAGGGTTGAAAAAAGGTCAAAATATACACCTAAAATCCTTGTATGGTTGACCCACAACCACCCACAAGTATTTTTTACATTGTAAATGTTCAGCTGTATTAGTAAAGAAAAAAAAATGTTTTTCGGAAACCTACATGTACTGCATGGGTAGATACATATAATCCTCGTAAAAATTAATTTCAATTGCTCTTTTCTATCGGTGCAAGTTAAGTACAGCTTTATGAATAGATATTTTAACTTTTGAATTGAGAGAAATCAATATTTTATATTTCTTAATACATGTACCTACCTTAACTTGATTTTCATTTTCCTGCTTCCGATATGTATCGAGGATTCACCGCACAGAAATCACACGACGGATATTTTACTGAAATATAATATTACATTGTAATTATAATTAAATTTAAGTCTTTTATTAAGCAATTTAAAACTAAACCAAAACACAATTCAGAATTAATAAAATGTCAAATTTAACCTGTTTAACCTTGTGATCATAGATATCATTATCTTGAAATTATAAAATAGTGTCTAAGTTATGCCATAAGCAGCAGAACGATTACTTTTAATACTTCAAAATATAAAACAATTATCGCACATATGTTTTAGAATTTAAAATTTTATTTTTAATTTTGTACTAAGTTGGTTTAAATAGATTAATATTTTGTATTTATTATTGGGATTATTTTGATGGTATAACCAACATTAAATTTTCTTAACAGTGACATATAGACCATAGATATTTTTAACCTAAAGTTTTTTAAGCGGTAACTGATTTTTTCTTGAAGTATTTTTCATTGTTTACGTTTAATTCTGTATGAGTTTAAATTAAAATGCTTGTTCATATTTTAGGAGGTAAAAATAATTTGGAATGTTCCTATAGAGATTCAAAAATACACTCCCTTCCTTGTAAAATACATGCCGACTGTGATGCTCCTGTTTCTAAGTATTTTGAACCTTATGTTACATCGCAAGAAGATGGTAGTAGGTTTAATTTAAAAAAATATTGGAAATGTGAATAATAATAAAGGTAATCTTGCAGTATTAAAGGCATCATTTCGAGGATTTCCACTATTAGGTATGAAAATTAACTTTCCTGAACATTACAAAGGAATAATTTTGCATGAAAGTATAAGACCAGAAACTGAGGATGAAGAACGGAGGTTTTATGTAGTAAATAATTTTAATTCAATAACTTATTGGAATTGGGATAAGAGCCCAACTAAAAATGATCTTTTTGTACAAGCTCTTGACTGGCTAGACATTGCTGAAGCTGTAAGTATTCTATTATATTAATACTAGATTATCTTAAGCTTCCTTCTTTTTTAGCTGCACTCTCCAATCATGGAATGAAGAGAACATGTGAAGTGCTACAGCATACAAAACGTTGAATTCAAACTGACTGTTTGTTGTATTCAAATGCATTATTTTCTTAATAAAAACTTGTGATCATTCACCTATGTACACACAAATATAATTATTCTAGTGTAACTAGAAATTTCATGAATAAGATACTAGTTAGTGGCATACTGTAAGTCCTTAAAGTCTAAATACTTCAATACCCATTTCTAACAAACTTAGTTGTGTGAATTTGCCTCTATATTTATTAAAAAAAAAAGTATATATTTAAATATGTAAATAATAAAACAGTTGATAGTTTTACTCAAATATTTGATAAATCACTGACAATTGTTTTGACTAAAGAGTGGTTATCAAGAGTAGACAGCATTTATAGTAATAATAATATTTGTTATACACATGACCACTCTTTTTCAAATGAATAACATGTAAAGACCTTTCATGATTTTGAAGGTCTTGACCAAGTCGAAAAAGAAATAAAGACTATT